TCCCTCCCTCCCTTTCTCTCTCTCTCTCTCTCTCTCTCTCCTCTCCCTCCCCTCCCTCCCTTTCTCTCTCTCTCTCTCCTCTCTCTCTCTCTCTCTCTTCCTCTCTCTCTCCCCCTTTCTTCTCTCTCTCCCCCTTCTCTCTCTCTCTCTCTTCTCTCTTTCTTTCTTTTCTCTCTTTCTTCTTTCTACTGCCAACGTATTGGGAACAAAGTCTGCAGGCCTGGCCACCCCATCTCAAAATGTCATCACTCTTTGGAAAGGTGCCACAAAAAAACATCCCTTCAAGACAACCTGTTTTACAGAGCGCTCATCCTGGTTTGTTCCACTGGGGAGGTTTAGACGGGGTTGGCTTTGCCACGAATATTTCATTCTTGTTTTGCTCGCAGGAGGCTAGATGATGCTCCGTCAAACCTAGAGTGATCCCACATTTCCGGTGCATCTTCCCATCTCCTTCCCTATCTCAAATAGTCTGGTCTTTTGGAAGCCAGTTTCTGAAATTATTTTAATTAGCTGTTGCATTTATATCCCAAGTCTTTTTGTCGAGGAGCTCAAGGTGGCATACATGGTTCTTCCCCTCCTCATTTAATCCACAAGACAACCCTGTGAGGGAGGTTAGGCAGAGAGGTAATGACTGGGTCTCCCAGTCCTGTCCAACACTCTTAACCACTAGGCCACACTGGTCCTTGTTGCACAAGACCTGGACAAACACCTGCAACTCTGCAACCTGAATTTGCAAGCTCAATATGTGATTGATCCCAAGTGAGGAGTCATGATAGAGCCCAGGCTATTTACTTTTATATTATGTAGGTTTTTTAATTGCATATGTATTGCTTTACAGCCTAGGGCCAATATAGCGAAGGGCAGGTTCTGTGCATAAATAAATATAAATAAGTCGTTGATGTTGTAATTGGAGCCAAGCCACATGAAATGGGCTCTGTTATTGTTAATTTCTTTATTACATTTAGATACCACCTTTATCTTTCAATGATCTTAAGGTGGTGTGCATGGTTCTCGTCTATTTCATCCTCCCAACCACCCTGTGAGGTAGGTTAGGCTGAGAGATGGTGACTGAGCTTCATAGCTGAGTCGGGATTCGAACCCTGCTCTCCCAGGTCTTAGTCCAACACGCTAGCCGTATATACCACCTTGGCACTTCAGCCTGGAAGGGAGGGGGACTGAATGTTTGGAAACCCCCTGCATGCAGAAAGCTAGCACGCAAGGGAGACAAGCCTAACCTGGTTTTCTCCCTGAGGTGCGGCTAGCTTTGAACGTACAGCGATTTCTACAGAGCATCCAAATTTAACTGCCCACCTGCAGCTTGGAATGGTACATGAAGGCCTCACCTGCCCTCAGTGCTGCTGAATCTGATTGGCTGCCCAGAGCTTGGTCCCAATTGTGGATCTGTTTCTTGGGAACAGAGCTTCTGGGTGCCTGTAAACAAAAACCACATGGTTCTCTGCATGGCACCAAGTAGGGCCAGTGAGGGGTGTGTAGTCTAGGGTGAAGCAGTGAGCTGAGGGCCACATTCGGAGACCTAGGGGGGCCACATTCAGGCTCCCCAACCCAACTTAGAAACAGACATCCAGTCCGGCCCCCCCACAAGGTCTGAGGGACCCCTGCTGAAAAGGTTTGCTGACCCCTGGCCAAGAGGCAATATGAGCTTCATTCACGGCCGAGCGGGGAATTCGAACCCTGATCTCTCCCGGACTCTCAACCGGCACTCTAAACACTACGCTGCCACCGGCTCACAGCTTAGCACTGCGATGTAGCAGGCCTGTCGGACGAGCCAGAGGATCTTAGAAACATAGAGTTGGAAGGGACCCCCAGGGGACATCTAGTCTAACCCCGTGCCATGCAGGAATCTCAGCTGAAGCATCCATGACAGATGGCCGTCCGACCTCTGCTTCAGAAGGAGGCTGGCATCTTTTCACCCGGCTCTGCCAAGTTCCCTGGTGCCCCATTAACGCCTGTCTTGTTTACGACACTCAGGGCTCGGTGTTTGTGCAAATTAGTGCGCCTGCCTCCGAGCCAACTTTCATGGCTAATTGATCTCCAGGAACCTTGCTAATGATCTTGGGGGTTGAGGGAATAGATGGCGGGGGTGGGTGGGGAATATCTGAGGTGGGGGGGCAGGGGGGAGGGCGAAGCGTCTTGGCTGAGACGCCCTCGGATTTGTTTGTGTAACCGGCGGGTGGGATGGCGGCTCCCCTGCGGGGCGCAGAACAGAGCCCTTGGTTGTTTATCAGGCCAAGATATTAATTATATTTAACGTGAGCGGCGGTACCTGGCGGAATCATTAAAAGAAAATTGGAATCTGATCTCGTAAGACTAGAACTCCGGGCCGTCCAAGGAAGCTGACAGCTGGGGGATTGGGCGGACAAAAGAAAAGACTTTTAGCTGCAGCGCAGAAGTATGAAGTATGGAACTCATTGCCACAGGAGGGTGGGATGGCCAGCATCCTGTTCTCACAATGGCTGAGCAGATTGGGCATTCAGAAGCATTGCTGTCTCAAATTATGGACCAGTATGAAGCAAGCCACCCACGTGGGTGGCACTGTGGGTTAAACCACAGAGCCTAGGACTTGCCGATCAGAAGGTCGGCAGTTCGAATCCCCGCCACAGGGTGAGCTCCCGTTGCTCGGTCCCTGCTCCTGCCAACCTAGCAGTTCGAAAGCACATCAAAGTGCAAGTAGATAAATAGGTACCACTCCTGCTGAAAGCTAAACGGCATTTCCACGCACTGCTCTGGTTCGCCAGAAGCGGCTTAGTCATGCTGGCCACATGACCCGGAAGCCTTATGCCGGCTCCCTCAGCCAATAAAGCGAGATGAGCGCCGCAACCCCAGAGTCGCTCACGACTGGACCTAATGGTCAGGGGTCCCTTTACCTTTACCTTTTTATGAAGCAAGCAGCACATAAGCGGCACACAAAATGCTAACAAACCATTCTACGTTCTAAATCTTATATTAATAATCCAAAAATTGAGAGAGCTATATACAAGATCTACTACAGAAGCCACAAACAGAAAACTCATTCAAATTGTGTCCAAAAGGAAGATTCAGTATTTAAAGTTCCTTTAGCCAGGAACCTGTAGATATCAACAAAGGTAAGTTTGATCAAACGAAGTGTCGGCGATGTTCAAGTCTCAAATTATGGAGGCTGAGCCATAGCCACCAATAGGCCTCTCCGCTGTGCATTTGCCTCACCCTCTCTTAAAGCCATTTAACTTGTTGGCAATCAGTTTTCTCCTGTGGCAGTGAGTTCCGAAGTTTAACCATGCGCTGCGTGAAGAGGGACTTTCTTTTGGGAGAAAGGGGACAGAAAAGGTGTTTTTCTCCCCTCTCTCATGACACTGGAGCTTGGGGATAACCCATGAAGCTGAAAGCAGGTTGATTCAGGACAGTCAAAAGGAAGGATTGCAGAATTAATGCAGCGTTTCAGGGCACCCCAAAGGTCATCTCTTCCAACCCCCTGCAGTCACAGCTAAAGAATCCGTGTCAGCTGGCCAACCAAGCTCTGCTTTTAAACCTCCAGTACTAGGTAGTCCCCTCGTATATCTCACTCCTGGGCATCCAGATCATCCAAACTGTCTATTTTAGATTCAGGCAGGTAGCTGTGTTGGTCTGACGCAGTCAAAATTAATTTTAAAAAAATTAAAAATTGTCCAGTAGCACCTTAGAGACCAACTAAGTTTGTTCTGGGTATAAGCTTTCGTGTGCATGCATGAGCGAGTTAGCAGGTCCAGTGAGCTTCATGGCTGAGCGGGGATTTGAACCTGGTCTCCCAGGTCCTAGTCCGCTACTCTAACTACTACACCACATTGCCTCTCAGCTTTTGACACCTGCATAATGCTGCCTCAGTGCAGGAGTTGGGGTGTGCTTGGGGTCTCATATCAATTAGGGGGAGCAACATTGTGAAGATAAAAGCTGAAGGAGGGCCTGGTTGCTGAATCAGGCTAAGGCCCCATTGAGTCCACCATCCTGTTCTTACAGGGGCTAAACAGATGCCATTATGGGAAACCCACAAGCCACAAGCGCAAGAGCTCTCTCATCTCTCTTTTTTTTAATTTGCTTTTTTTTAATTTGTTAACATTCTTATATTACATCTGTAAACGTTGTCATATTACATTACAGGACTTACTATAATATAATTTCCAACATGTATACATAAATTATATACAAATTTTATATACCTAGAAAGAAAGTGAAACAATAGAAAGAAAGAAACAAAGAGAAAAAACAAAGACAAATCCCCCCCCAAAAATCATATACATACCAACACACTAGACTTCCTGTCTTTCCCATTGTATATTCCTTTTTTACAAATGAATGTACTCTTATTATTGTATATTTATTTACATATTATCTAATACATTCCTATATCAATATGTGCTCTTGGCCTTATTTCTCAACTCAGTCTCACTCCAACGTCAATCAAATGCTAGCATAGATCGCGAACCTTTATTGTATTTTTGAACATATGTTTTATATCTATCCCACTTTTCCATTGTTGTTTTGAATTGCCTCCCAGGGTATTTGGTAACTGCACCATTTCAGAAAATTCTTGTAGCTTGTTATGCCAATTCGTTATTGTTGGGACATTTTCTTCCTTCCACCCCTTTGCCACCAAGCTGCGGCTGTTGCATATAAGAATACTTCCCTAAAGGCCTTCGGGATGTCCCTGCCAACAATGCTTAACAGAAATGCCTCTGGTCTTTTTAAAAAAGTTATCCTAAACATTTTTTTTTCCAACTCCTCATAAATTAAACCCCAGAACACAGCTCTCTCCCCTCCTGTGGTGTTCAGAAGCATTGCTTTTCCAAACGTGGAGGCCATAGAAGAGTCAATCTGGCTTGTAGTCATCGATAGCCCTCTCCGCTGTGCATTTGCCTCATTCTTTTTCAAAGCCATTCAGCTTGGTAGCAATCGCTTTCTCCAGGGGCAGTGAGTTCCGTAGCTGAACACTACGCTGCATGAAGAAGTCCTTCCTTTTGGGAGTATCCAAAATCCAGATTCTGTGAAGTCCAGTGTTAGGAGAGAGGGAGGAAACACCTCTATATTCCCCCCCACTCCATGCATATTTTTATATGTCCCTCAAAAACTTCACTGCTTGTGGCTTATCCCCACAACACCTACTCACTATGTTGTTGTTGTTTAGTCGTTTAGTCATGTCCGACTCTTCGTGACCCCATGGACCAGAGCACGCCAGGCCCTCCTGTCTTCCACTGCCTCCCGCAGTTTGGTCAAGCTCATGTTGGTAGCTTTGAGAACACTGTCCCACCATCTCGTCCTCTGTCGTCCCCTTCTCCTTGTGCCCTCCATCTTTCCCAGCATCAGGGTCTTTTCCAGGGAGTCTTGTCTTCTCATGAGGTGGCCAAAGTACTGGAGTCTCAGCTTCAGGATCTGTCCTTCCAGTGAGCACTCAGGGCTGATTTCCTTCAGAATGGAGAGGTTTGATCTTCTTGCAGTCCATGGGACTCTCAAGAGTCTCCTCCAGCACCAGAATTCAAAAGCATCCATTCTTCGGCGATCAGCCTTCTTTATGGTCCAGCTCTCACTTCCATACATCACTAGTGGGAAAACCATGGCTTTAACTATAGGGACCTTTGTTGGCAAGGTGATGTCTCTGCTTTTTAAGATGCTGTCTAGGTTTATGGGCCCTACTAAAGCAAACAGTCTAATTGGTCAATGTCTAAAAGATATCGAGCATCAGAACACCTGGCCACTATAAGTAAATTCTGCCCTTGGTATGTTCATTTTCCACCTCTCCATTTTGATTCTCTGGCCCCATATCTGCACAAACCTATGATCCCAAAATACAGACGTGCTTTTACACTTGCAAGACTGGATGTTTTGCCATCCGCTGTACTTGAGGGTCGATTCCAAAAGACCCCACCTGAGAAATGCTTTTGCCCCTGTGGAGATGGTAGCACCGAAACAGCGCCACACGTCCTCCTGTCTTGCACTCTCTACAAAGACCTGAGGAACGAGATCATCACCCCACTCGTACTAACCATCTCAGGGCGCTCAACCACTGCCACAATGTCCTTTCTTCTATCAGATCAAAATGAGCAGATAACAGCAAAGGTTGCTAGCAGGGGCAATCAGAATAAGGGCCACTAACTGACGGCTGATTCAGAACTTTAAATTGTGCTCTTATATCAAATTTCCTTTTCTGCGTATACTGCAATGTTTTACTGTTGCTATGGCCATTGGCTAATGTGAGTAAAGTTTTAGCTGCTCAGGGCAGGGTCTCTGCTCTTTCCTGATCACCCCCTTTTGCCCTTACAGCCGCTGCTGCGATAAGAAAAGCTGTGGGAACCGCAACGAGACACCGTCTGACCCCGTCATCATCGACAGGTAAGAAGCTGCAGAACTCCCCGGGATTTTTGCAATAGAACTGCAGCAGGATTGCATTGCATTGTTTGTTCCGCATTGTGGTCCTCATCTACAACTTAGCCTACATTTCTTGGAAAGTCACACTTTAAAAAGCTCCAGCCTGAGCCTTTCTTCTTATTTTTGCTTCGCTTTCTCTCCACCATGGAGCAATTGCAGAAAGAACGGAATTGCTGTTTGTTCGATTTAGCCTATTTCCTAGAAAGTACAAGCAGCACAACAATTGGACACGTACCAGATGTGATGCAAAAGATGAGCTCTGCATGCATGAAGAAACTGCTTGATTACAGATCTGCTGGAATGCATAAGCTCAGAGCTGATTCAATTACTCCATTCAGGTTTTGGGCAGTGGGGTGGAGAGCTGCAATGTGGAGCCTCTGAACCTTCTTCGGGTAAAAGAGCAGGGACTTGTGTCTTCAACTGCAGGGAGCCGCTGCTGTGCGTAGCAGAAAGCCTCCGGGTTCGAATTCCAGCCTCTGCTGAGACAAAGATCTCAGCTCCTTCCAGCTCACTTGGAAAACCACTGTCCTGACTTGGTACATAAGGAAGCTTCAGTTATTGTCACAGGGCCTTTAGAAGGCATTCTTGGCCCCCTCTTTGGGATTCTCATGTTTCTAACAGGCATTGGCTGGAGGTTTCCATTCATGCCTCTCTTAACCTTGAGGACTAGGCCCTTGGTTTGTTTGTGTTTTTTGTGAGACGCGAAAGCTGGGTGACTCTTCTTGCTTTCAAGAGGTTGCCTTCTGCAGCACATGCTAAGCTTTGGTGCTTGCTCAGTGCGGCCAGAGAGACATGGGATATGCACAGCCACACATACTGTCCACCCCCTGCCCATGTGCCAACAGGCAGCCTGCCCCATGCTCTAGGTTTGCCAAACTTGTGTGCACTGCTTCGTCTGGGAGTCCAGGCACTGCCACCATCATCTTGTTCCCAACTACCTGTGCTGAAATGGTAAACTCATATTAGAGGATCTCAAACTGTGACCTGCATGCTCCATTCAGGTGGTCTCTGGAAGAGTTTGGGGTATCTGCCCTTTGCCTCTGATTAGTTTGTGTCTTTCCTAACAGCAATCACGGAACTTTGCTTACAAAGATAGGCACATCCATCACCTTAGAAAGACACAGCTGCAGATATCAAAACGAGAGTTTAATGTTTGTGGGGAGGCGGTGAGTTCAGTAGGTGTTTTGCCAAGAGTAGGTGATTTGAGAGCCAGTGTGGTGTAGTGGTTGAGAGCGGTAGTCTTGTAATCTGGGGAACCGGGTTCGTGTCTCCGCTCCTCCACATGCAGCTGCTGGGTGACCTTGGGCCAGTCACACTTCTGTGAAGTCTCTCAGCCCCACTCACCTCACAGAGTGTTTGTTGTGGGGGAGGAAGGGATAGGAGAATGTTAGCCGCTTTGAGACTCCTGAAGGGGAGTGAAAGGCGGGATATCAAATCCAAACTCCTCCTCCTCCTCCAAGATGCCCAAGATTATTATTAAAGATTAAAAGAGCACAGAAGAACTACAAAAAGCTAAAAACGTGTAATAGTTAAGAAGTAATTCAACTCCGATAAAACGATATAAAAAGCCCATACCATTAAAATAAAAACAGCATAGCTTTATTAAAAATATTTTACTTTAAAAAAAAGTCACCAGTCAGTTCCCAAAGGCCTGCTGGAATAAAAATAAAAATAAAATATTTATACACCACCCATCTGGCTGGGTTTCCCCAGCCACTCTGGGCTGCTCCCAACAGATTGTTGTTAATAATAATAATAAAGTGATAAAACATCGACCATTGAAAATTTCCCTAAACAGAGTTGCCTTCAGATGTCTTCTAAAAGTCCAATAGTTGTTTATTTCCTTGACATCTGCTGGGAGGGCATACCACAGGGCGGGTGCCACTACCGAGAAGGCCCTCTGCCTGGTTCCCTGTAACTTGGCTTCTTGCAGGGAGGGAACTGCCAGAAGTCCCTCGGCACTGGACCTCAGTGTCCGGGCTGAACGATGGGGGTGGAGATGCTTCTTCAGGTATACTGGGCTGAGGCCGTTTAGGGCTTTCAAGGTCAGCACCAACACTTTGAATTGTTGGAATAAAACGGACTCCACCTGCCAGCACAGCTAGGATGGATCTAGTCTGGCTTCTCTAGGGAGGGGGTTTCCTAGAGTATGCCTAGGGGTATCATCTACACCAAGCTGGATCCTAGAATCCTAGGACTGTAGAGTTGGAAGGGGTCATGAGCGGTCATCTAGTCCAACCCCCTGCAATGTGTGAACATGGTGCACCTGAAGAAGCAAGGAACCCTGGGGGACAAGGTAGTACTGCAGGGGTAAGCAACTGGGTACCCTCCAGAAGACAGCCCTATATGTTTGACATCTTATATGTGCTAGAAGCCGCCCAGAGTGTCTGGGGAAAGCCAGCTGGATGGGCGGGGTGTAAAAAATTAAGTTGTTGTTGTTGTTGGTCTCCCAACTCGCACCAGCCCCTTCTAAACATGGCCAGTGGTGGAGGATGATAGGAGATGCTGCAATCTGCCCTTTTGTGCTACGAGCCGCTCCGAGATCTTTGGATGAAGGGTGGTATACAAATGTTAAAATAAAAATGCAGTCAATAAACATCTGGAGCACATTATGTTGGCTACCCCCGCTTTACTGTGCATGCATAGAGAAGCAGGGAACTGTGGGGCAACAGACACTACTGTGTGTGTGTTGTGTTGCTGGGGAAGCCATGGTCACCATTGTTCCCAGTCCCGCTGGCCACATCAAGAGGGGCTTGGGCCTCTGGGTCGCATCAATCCTAGAATTGTTGGGTCGGAGGGGACCCCAAGGGTCATCTAGTCCAACCCCCTGCAATGCAGGAATCTCAGCTCATGCATCCAGGACAAATGGCCATCCAAGCTCTGCTTAAAAACCTCCAAGGAAGGAGAGCCCACCAGCTTCCGAGGGAGACTGTTCCACTGCCAAACAACTCTTGCCATCCACAACCTCCTGAGGTGTAGCGTTCCCAAAGGAAGGAAGGATTGGACTCTGATTAATAAAATACACATGAGGCTTGACCAGCAAGACTCTTGGAAGAGTGCCAATAATAATAATTCCTGTCCACCCTCCGGCCCAGGTCGTTTTATTCACAAAAGAACTTTTTACACAATGTTAGTAAGAACCAATCAGATTCCCTCTGAGCATTTCAAAAAAAACCCACGTGGGGACAAAGTTAAAGTTAAAACTACAAAGAAACTATTTCCTACTTGAGCATGCATAGTAGTCCAGAGTTAATAAAATAGGAATAAAAGGAGGAATGCATTCAGCAAAACCCCGTAGGTCATAAGCAGGAGAGGAAGGATGGGTAGTATTTACCGTCTCTTTGTGAACTCTCTTCCTGGCCTTTAAGATCTATCTAAAGATTAACTACATCAAAGTTACATACTATCTTTATGGCTCAGGATGTCTGGTGAGGCAACTGGCCTGTGTTTTTAGAACGCTTATACGTGCCTGTCAAGTGTAGAGAAAGCAAATGTCAGAGGTGGAGAGGCTTGTGGGATTTGATCAGAAATTATTGCCAATGAATCAAACCCAGTCAACGCCATGCTTTCATCGTGGACACAATGGCTTGATACATATTTTATAATTCCTCATGGTAATCCCATCTGATCACTACACTCTGGATATTTGTACCCCCACACTGAGGGAAGGCCATTCCAGTTTGAGGGGCAAAATTTAGAGGAGGCCCATTTGCCTGCCAGCCGCCCTCAAATATATATTCAGTGCTATCCCCTTCTGCCCAAGATTCGAGGGGCCTGATCTCTCCCCATTGTAGACTGACCTTCTGAGCTTCTAGAGAATACCTGGGAAATTTGGGGCTCATTTCTAGCTGGCCCTGTGTATCCCCTGAACCTTCACAACAAACCACCCTCCTGACTTGTGGAGAAAATGTTGGTCTGCCTTGCCCTCTCTTCGTTGGAAAGAAGATTGTGTGTGTGTGTGTGTGTGTGTGTGTGTGTGTGTGTGTGTAAGGAAGTCACTTTTCCCATCAATTGCACAATGGGCCAATGGGAAAAAGCGTTCCTCCCATTTTGTTGCATCCTGGTGGCGGTCAGGGTGCCTCGATAATGCACTGACATTTCCCCAGCTTTTGTCCTCCCGCGATAGCATCGGTGCTGCGGCGAGAGGGGCCCGGTGCCTTGGGATGGCTGCCTGTCACTCAAGCCACCCGGGAGACAGCCGGCAGGCGACAGAGAAGAATGGGGATTGACAAGGCAGCGGGGAGATTAGGAGGGGAAGAATCAAAGCTATTACGGTCTGTCTGGCCGGCAGCCATTGTGTGCTCCGATCTTTCAGCTTCTCCTTCAGCCAGATCGCACGCAGACACAAGCACACACACACAAACACACACAAGCTACTGTCTCTGCACTCTGGGCAGGACAAAAAGAAAAAAACCCAACTCCAGGAAGTAAAGTTTGGGTAGATCAGGTCACACAACTGGGTAAGCATCTGATCAGGAGGTCTTGTAGACCAGAGTTGGGCATGTCATGGGGAAAGTGATGGAGGAAGATTTTCCTTCATTTTTTGTAACGTTGGAGGTCATGGGCATCCAATCAGGCTGAAGCTTGGGAGATTTGAGACAGAGAAGAGAAGACCTTCTTCACACAGGAAAGAGCTAAACTGTGGAACTCGCTCCCTCAGAAAGCACTGATGACCACCAACTGAGATGGTTTTTAAAGACAATTCATGGAGGAGATGGCTGTCAAAGGCTACTAGCCTGGATGGGTCTTCTCTGCCTCCACAGTTGAAGGCAGAAATGTTTCTAAATTCCAGTTTCTGGAAACCACAGGAAGGGAGAGTGCTGCTCTTGCGCTCGAATCCTGCTTGCTGATTTCGCACTGGCATCTGGTTGGCCACTGTGAGAACAGGATGATGGGTTAGATGGGCCATTGGCGTGATCCAGAAGGATCGTCTTAAAAGGTAAAGGGACCCCTGACAATTAGGT